TTCTTTTCTAATTCATGCATTCACAACAGGTCAACAAAATATTACCTAAATAAATCCCAGCCCACCGTTGCATAGGCTGCCATAAGACCGAGGGGTTACCAACGACTAGCCTTTATCACGTGTCCATCATTATCCAGATACTCGTGTTCAGAAAACTAAAACAGTCACATCTGAGCAAATAAACTCAGCTCCAGGAAAGTCATCGTCTCAGGCTGCTCCACCGATTACAGAAGACAAACTGCAGCCGACAGACGGATGATGTTTGCTTTCCCTCCTGCAGCATCAGCAGCTAAATGAATTCCTGGAGTCCAAACATCCTCCCCATGATGCACCTGTACAGCCTCCAGCTCTGAACCAGTGACAGACAAGAACAATGAAGCTTCTACAAGACATGACAGCGTAGAGGCTCGCTAACTCGGGTTTCGTCTCAGCTCAGCTCACTTCAACATGACAGAGAAAACGTTTGAGAAACATCTGAGGCTCAAGTTTTCCTCCGCAGAAAGCAGCCGACCTGCTGAAGTGCCCCGAAGCAAGGTTCTGAACTGACAGTCCGTCTGAACGTGTTCCCTCCAAGTGGTGAAAGGTTCTGTACGTCCGGAGACAGACGCCGACGCTGCTGGTTTAAATCTGAACACGACTCTAAATAAAGCACGACAAACTGAATCTGAAGCGTTTACAGTTGAATTTTAACTGTAGTCAAATTTAGATCTGAATTACACACAGTGAATTTAAACTGAATGTGAAAGTTTACAGAGATTTAGATTTTCAATGCAGCAACTGAATTCAGTTTCATGCAGTGATATTTATTTTTCAACTACAATTCACTTTAATTTATGTGATTTAAATTCAGATTTTCATGGCAATTATTCAAGTTATTAGACGTTTAAATTTTGTGTCCAATAAAGTTTTTAAATAAAATGGGTCAAGTTAAACTATTTAAATGCAAATTAAGTGATTCAAACACATTTTTAAACACAGTGATTCAATCTTTTTTGTTTTTTTGTCGTTCCTAAAGTTAAACAGTAAATTCTCAAATATTTCATTCAAATTACATTTTTTCAATTATTCAAGTTGAACTTTTTTTTAAAAATTGTTTTTCAGGTTAAACAGCACATATTCAAACTACACGATTTAAATTCAGCTTTTCAGAACAATTAAAGTTAAACATTTAAGTTAAATAGTACAAATTCAAATAATGCAATTAAACTCCTTTTTAATCGAGTTGTTAAACGTCTTACTTTTTAAAAAATCATTTATCATGTTAAACAAAACAAATTCAAATCATGTGATTAAAATGTCAGTTTCAATAAAACAATTCAACCTAACTCATCAAATTTAATTTCGAAACTAAAACAAAACATATCTAAACTATGCAATTTAAATTAATTATTTACAAATTTTATAGCTTCAAATTACGCCATTGAATGAAATTTTTAATAAAAGAATTCAACTTAATTAATCAAATTTAATTTAGTTTCTAAAGTTAAACATATTTAAACTATGTAATTTAAATACATTTTTTTCACAATGTGTTTTACAAATTTTACAAATTCAAATGATGCAATTTAATGTATGGGGGGGAGGGGGGATGTAAATTATTCAAGGAAATATACACTTTTATAGGTTCTCAAGTTAAACAATTCAAATTATGTCATTGACATGGGCGTCTAAAATAAAATGACTCAAGTGAAACGATTCCTTTTTTATAGTATCTCTGGTTAAAAAATTCAAATTTGGATTTTTTGCCTCTTCAGGTGAAACAATAGAAACTTAAATGATGTGATTGTAATTCATGATGGAATCAGTGATTAAAGCTCAGCTCACAGTGGAGCATATTTGAGAGTGTGAGCAGACGTTACCAGACGTCGGACTTGGAGTCGTAGCCCTGCTGGTTCAGCACCTCTGGACTCATGTAGTACGGAGTCCCAGTGAAGGTGGTCGCCTGGTCACATGACCCCATCAGCAGGCAGGAAACACCGAAATCACCTGGAAACACGAGAAAGGTCACCCTGATGATCGATGGCTTCGGTTTCATCCACAGAGACTGTCCTCAGGATAAACATCCACGTGATGGATGCAGCATTTGGACCTGCGGGTTCTTCTGGAAAGCATTCAATCAGCAGAAATGTTTCAAAGCCAGCTGTCAGGAATCATCCACATGCTGTAACACTGGTGTCACCTGAAAGAACACAACCTGAGCAAACTGTGTCGAACACAACGTGTCACAGGTGACAGTAATACAGACAATATTCATCCTCGTGCCAGAATGTGACTTATAGGAGAGTTCTGTTTGACCAAAGAGGTTCTTCTGGCTGCTAAGGACTAAAAAAGACGAGACGGTAAGAGGTTGTGTTTCATTGTCTGTGGTTGTTTAGTGTCTTTTTGTGTCTCTGTGGATTGTCGTCATGTTTCCTCTGGCATTCTGGACCACTTCTGTGTCTCTGTGTAGCTGTTGTGTGTCTCTGTGACAGTTTTGTGTCTTTCAGTGTCTCTGTGGATTTTTGTGCCTCTTTGTGGTGGTTTTGTGTCTCTGTGGACTTCGGTGTCTGTTTGTGTCTCTTTTTTGTTTCGTTTCTTTGTAGTTGTGTGTCTCTGTGGTAGTTTTGTGTCTAAGTGCATTTTTGTGTCTCTTTGTTTTATGTCTCTTTTTGGGTGTTGTGTCTCTTTGTGGACTTCTTTTTGTCTTTTTGTGGTTGTTTTGTGTCTCTGTGGATTTTTGTGTCTTCTTGTTTTTGTTGTGTGTCTCTGTGGTTGCTTCGTATCTTCTGTCTGTTTGCGTCTCTTTAGCCTTTTTTTTTTTTTAAACATGTCACCGACGGTTCGCTCCACGACCCTCTGTTTCTTGTCTCCTCATTGGTAAACCTGTTGGTGTGTTGTGGAGCTTCAGCTTTGGGACAGACGGCCTGCTGACACGAGTAAATCACCTTCATGTGTCGGCGCTCGATCACAGGATGAAACGTTTGCCCGAGCAAACACGTGAAAACCAGCCATGAGATGAACTTCTTCACATGACTGTGTTCAGCTCTATTTGGGTTTCTGTCCCTCTAATCTGCAGCATCTCTTTCCTCTGTGGAGTCGATCCTCGGTCTGTGTGTGCAGCTGGCCATCAGCAAACTAAAAACTGCCACCAGAGAGTTTTGGCAAAATCCAAAAAGTGCAGACGGCAGCAGCAGCAACAATCTGCTGAGTTTACACTCCAAACACAACCGGCTCAGAGTAAATTCTCCCGTGTTCGTGTGGACTCATTATTAACTGGAGGCACGCTGCTATTTATGGTTCAAGAGGTTTTGTTGTTGTTAGTCAGAGGAAAGAGCGCTTTTAGGCAGCATGAGAGAATTTGTAGCACAAAGGAAAACATGGACAAAGTGCCACAAGCTTCTGCAGAAGAAGAAGAAACTCACCGATTTTCACAAGGTTCCGTTTCAGGAAGACGTTCTTGGCCTTCAGATCACGATGGAGGATCCGCCTGGATTAAAAAAAAACAAAACAAAACAACAACACTTATTTACTGGACTTTGAATGGCTGTTGCCCTCCACAGTAAAGTAGTGGGAAGTGCTGGTTCCCACAGCGACCGCATCCTCACCTGTCGTGCATGTAGTGAAGGCCGAGGAGCAGCTGGATGAGCCAATCGATGACCTGGCTTTCGAGGAGGCTCCGCCCAGCCTGCTTCACCTCCTGCAGCTTACAGTCCAGATCTCGATCCTGAGAAACAAACGAGAACATCTCAGTTCTTCCCCCTGAATGTGGTCAGTAAATGTATTAACATGTCATTTAACTGCACCAGTTCTGTCAAGAGAAGAAGTTTGTGGACAGAAACCAAAAGTGTCTAGTTAAGGTGAAAACAGCCAAAAATAACCAAATATTCACATTATTATGTACATTATATGTTTGACCCAGCAGATGCTGTCTAGAAGACCTATAATNTCATTGGTAGAACCACAAAGATTTGGTGTGTAAAGGGGTCTATAGATTGTTAATAAGTGTGCAAAGTTACAAGCTGATGCTGAAACTTTCCCAACACTTAGTAGAAGGTAACGTATCCTGGACCGCTCACTTCTAAGTCCAGGTCGAACACTGCAGCCAGCAGGAGGCAGAAATAAAGTGGTTTCCTTTGCTGACTTCACGTGACATCTCTGTACATACGAGTAATTAGACTAGAGTCATTAGTATAAAAAAAACTAAGATGCATGTTAACATATTAATAACAAAAATTAAAAATAGAGTTAATTAGTGGTTATTGAGTGATAAATCCAATGTTTGTTCATGTAGGTAATTGCAGACAGAGAGCCGAGCTGATGGATGCTTAGTGGGTTGTTAACATACAGACGGAGGTAATTAAAGAGGAGACGGCAGGAAGTAGAGAAGGTGCTTAATTAACTAAACAGAATGAAGACAGGAGAGAGGACGACTGGACGGAAAAAAACAAACACATCCACCTCTCGCGCTGTGTTTTTATTCTCTTTCTGGATCGTTTCAGTCGCTGCACTGACGTTTGTCTCACAGCAAAACATCTCAACATCTGCCGGAGACGTTGTACAGTTTTAAAAGTTCTGCAGTAAATTAATCTGCGTGCCAATGACGACGACACGTTGATGCTTACAGCAGTGCAGAGAGCTGAGTTTAATCAGACCTCAGATCAGCCTCTGCTGCCTCCTTCCTTCCTCCTGAAGAGTCTGACCTGAGTCCTGCAGTTTATCTTCTATCTCTGTTTGCTTTGTGGTGCTTCTACACATCACAGCCAATAATTCTACTGTGTGCTTCCTCCTGAGGCTGCAGCTTAAGGCTGGTGTTCTACTGGAGTATTTTCTAATATTTTACCAACGATACAAAATCAGATCAACCACGTCCTCTGGATTTCCCCCCACGGACATCTCCACCTGCCAAGGCGCCGTTCCTGCCACGCCACCAGCTCCTCCATCTGCATTCCTTCACTCCCCACCTGGGTTGCAGCTCAGTTAGCTTCATTCTATCTCTCAGGTCTCCAGTAGCTTACAGTGCTTGTCCATACTGTGGAGTGTTCACTGATCAGTCCTGTGTGATCTCGCCTGTTCTGTAAAATGTATTGTGTTGCCTGGCCATGTGCACGTAGATCTCCATCTCATCTCCAGCTTTCCCGGCTCGGTTATACCAAGCCCTGGCGAGTAACTACTGAAGGGATGAATTAACTCTTTGCTAGATTTTGCTACTGTTTCACCTGCTTTGGTATTTTGTCCTCTCCTGGCCTCCGTAGAGTTTCTCGGTTACCCTCCGACCTGTAGTTGTCTCCCTCAGGAGCTTTTCTGATATTGTGTAAATCTGACT